TGGTTGGTGAAGAAGATGAAGGAGGAAGAAGGTGTGAGGTGGTTGGCTATGGTGGATGGGTGAAGAAGATGGTGGAGGAAGAAGGTGTGAGGTGGTTGGCTATGGTAGATGGGTGGAGAAGGTGGAGGAGAAGGAAGGTGCGAAGTGGTTGGTTATGGTGGACTGATGAGGAAGATGGAGAAGAGGGTGTGAGGTGGTTGGCTATAGTGGATGGGTGAAAAAGATGGAGGAGGACGAAGGTGTGAGGTGGATTGCTATAGTGGATGGATGAACAAGAAAGAGGAGAAAGAAGGTGTGAGGTGGTTGGTTATGGTGGATTGGTGAAGAAGATAGAGAAGGAAGAAGGTGTGAGGTGGTTGAGGGCTGATTTCTTCCACCGTTGTTCCATGGCAATATAACAAGTGAGTGGAGGAGGTTTAGTCACATGCCAAGAGAAAGGAGGAGGGAAGGGTAAGGCCAAGGTTTTCGGGATGCAAAAAAAAGAGTGGAGATGGAAGGAGGAGGGTGGCGGTGAGAAAGAAGAAGAGGAGAAAAGAGGGAGAAGGAGGAAGAGAGGAGGAAGGAAGTGGAAAGAAGAAGAGATAGGAAAGGGGAAAAAAGACTTCCTATGCCTAATCAAACTTACCCCCTTACTTGTCTTACCGTCCTACCTAAGGTCCCCTTTGCCTTTTGGTGCTTCGTCGGCCACAGTCCTTGGTTGGTGAAGAAGATGAAGGAGGAAGAAGGTGTGAGGTGGTTGGCTATGGTGGATGGGTGAAGAAAATGGTGGAGGAAGAAGGTGTGAGGTGGTTGGCTATAGTAGATGGGTAGAGGAGGTGGAGGAGAGGAAGGCGCGAAGTGGTTGGTTATGGTGGACGGATGAGGAAGATGGAGAAGAGGGTGTGAGGTGGTTGGCTATAGTGGATGGGTGAAAAAGATGGAGGAGGAAGAAGGTGTGAGGTGGATGGCTATGGTGGATGGATGAACAAGAAAGAGGAGGAAGAAGGTGCGAGGTGGTTGGTTATGGTGGATGGGTGAAGAAGATGGAGAAGGAAGAAGGTGTGAGGTGGTTGGCTATGGTGGATGGGCCATGAAACACCCTCGGACGCGTCCATGGGGCCGATCTCGGATGGCGACCGCAAATGTCCTCACGTCCACGGCCGTCCTCGTCCACGCAGCGGACCCGATTTTACCAGAATTTTCCCGAGTTAAATAATAGGCAAAAAAAAAAAAAAAAAAAAAAAAGTGGTTGTAGGGAATTTTAAGCCCTACAACCCCCTTTTTTTTTTTTTGAATCCGACTTTATTTAGGATTGAAAAAAAAGACAATAACTAAATTGGATTTAAAGAAAATAAAAAATATATATATAAAGAAAAGCATGATTTTTTTTTTTTGTCATTTTTTATCATGAGATATATGGTCCCTAAGTTGACCTGCATTTTTTTTAGAAATGAATTTCTATTTTTTGCAAGGGTATGAGGTGTTCAAAAAAAGTGCAGATGCAGAATTTCAAAATAAGTAAACAAAAAAAGGGATTGATTGATTCATTCATTGATTGTGAGTGAGTGAGTGAGTGTGTGTGTGTGTGTGTGTGTGTGTGTGTGTGTGTGTGTGTGTGTGTGTGTGTGTGTGTGTGTGTGTGTGGTGTGGAAGACAGCGGCAACAGCCTGTCCGGGAGGGCACAGTAGCACAATGAGTCATAAACATGTAGACTTAGAAAACAGAGTCAAGCTTTGAACAAACCCGTCGAAACGAGCTCAACCTTCAAGAAACATCAACAAACTACCACTTCCTACATGCCACGAAACCTTCACCACCATAGCCAAAATCACCCGCATAAACTCGACAACGCGGTCCTTCTACCGGTTTCATCCGTCCGCAACGGAATCATCAGGAAGGTACGCCCTTCACGAGCGCTTCCGTCGAAAAGAGAGACCCGTGCCTTGTCCCTCGCGCTTTTTATCGTTACCCTTTGTAAAATAAAATAAAATAAAATAAACACTTAGTATTCCGTACTAAGATAAAAACCCGACTTTCTTAGGAACCTCGTGTCCCCATGCGTCAGTCGTGGAAGTTCCTTTCCTCAAAAGATAAAAGCGCACTTCTACTTAGTGTTCCGTACCAAAATCAAAATTCCGACTCTCGTAGGAATCTCGTGTCCCCATGTGTCAGTCGCGGAAGTTCCTTGCCTCAAAATATAAAGACGCACTTCTAAAAATGTGCGTCTGATCCTCAAAATAAAATCACAGCAAATCCTTAAAGCTAAAGCCGTAACCGTATCCGGGGCTACTGGCCAAAACATTGAGTTAAAGGACAGTGAACCAAAAAAAACGAAAGTACGTAGTTGCTATGTCCGTCTGGATTCATCTGCCAGTTCCCACCTTCAGCAGTTACAGCCTGAGCCGCGGGGAACTGATCATTGCTTCCGTACGTTCGTCCGAACGCCGCTCGTGGTCCGCGTCCCTTCGTAAGGACAAAATGAAAAAGTTCCCAAAAGGCCCGAACCAGATGGTTTCCCGTAACTTTGGCCAATTTGGCCAAAGCCCCGAGAGAGAGACCTCCGGGGGGTAGCCCCGGAGGTTACTCTCGACTAGTGCATATGCAAGTGAGCTGACGCATAGTGCTCAAGAAGTCGACGAGTGCCACAACCTCTTCAGGGTAGCTGAGAGAACCCCCTTCTTCGACTTCTTGTCAGAGTAGCTTGCAAAATCTTGCATTGATTGGTACTTCAAAAATCCCGATGTTCTCAGCGCTTTTGTGTTCTTGATATCTTGAACAAAATGAACTTGTACCGGATCGTTGTCAACAAACATCTGTCCGCCGATGAAACTCCAAAGGTTCGAACCGTTGTCCTTTCGGACCAGTTTCAGGTTAGAATCGTAGGATGTCTCAAATAGATCTGCGATCCGTTGCACATTCGTCCATGACTCGGCCTCGTGCGAGCATCCTACCACAATGGAAACGTCATCTACCATATGCCAACCGTACACCAGCTTTCTGTCTGTTCCTAATGACCGAAGAAATCTTGCTTCTATCATTGAGCAAGTTACCGTGGCTAGGACCGGACTCATGATCTTACCCATTGGTACTCCTACAACTTGTCTCCTAATCAGATCTCCACATAGCATATATGCATGTGAGAGATCATACTCGACCATCTTATATATCAATTCCAACTTTACCTTCACGTACCCTGCTTCTCCTCTTTTTGTCTTCGAGAGTACGCACAGTTTCCCTCTCGTCGCTACCCTTACCTGCCTCCAACCATGGTCCTCGTAATATCTTATCAGTTCAAAAACTGCGTCTTTGATGGCGGCATGCGGTATCGAGGAAAACATTTCCTTGATATTGTAGCATCTGCCAATAGCCATGTTGCAGCGTGTCCTCGTTACTGAGGACCCAACTGTGTTCAGTTGTTGACTGAAAGACTTAGCAGAGTTCAAATGGAAATGTAGATCCTTAGGGAACCTTGTGATAAGACAGTACAGTGCCCTAGCATACCTTCTCTTCCCCATGGTGGTCGGGTCACCACAAGCTGGGGCAATTGGGCACCATCGCTGGAGGTCTTTATCTTTAGGAATGATATATGTTTTGCCCAACTTTCCATCCGTTTTCCAATTTCCAAACACGGTCATTCCAGTCTTTTCGTAATCGATCTTACCCGCTGCTAAAACCTCCTTCTCCTCCTGGTCTACCTTTTCGTAGTCTGGATTCCAAGAGAACATTCGACCAAAGGCATGCCTATACAATACAGGATATACCAGAACTGTGTCACCTATGTTCCTGTCTACTAGACCAGTACCAGGCCATCGAAACGTGTAGCCCACTTCCGGATCTCGAAATATGTCCATGTTGCAGTGTTTCCTATAGTTGTTGCGAAACACTGGTCCACGTTGATTTTCTGTCTCTCCCTACCTTTTAAATGCTCTGTTGCTGCGAGTATCCCCTTCACAAGTTCTCGCTTCTGATCCAAAGTCGCACCCTTAGTGACATTCTTAGAATTCCGGATAAAATCCGGTACACAGTCCATCTCAGAAAACCGTGTGCGGACATTCGGTATTCGTCGCAATCTTGATAACTTTCACTACTTCAAACTCTCCCCCATTCTGGCACGCTGTCCTTCCCTCCTTTAGCCTCATCGTCTTACCTTCTAAACGGATGATCATGTCATCGTACTTAGCACGTATCTTTTTCCAACCATCCGACCACTCCTGTCCGACTACGAATCTAATCGCTAGTGGGCCATCACCCGCAGTATGTCTCTCATCTAACCAATTTATTAAAGACGTACGTTCCTCGTTCTTGGTGATAAAAATGACGACTGTCCGTCTTACTGTAGCAGGTGCTCGTTTCTTTCTTTCTCGCCTGCCTTTGCATCGTCGTGATCTGAAGCCCACTCGTTCACCGGTTCCGAGCGTATTGAGGCTCGGTGACAGATCCTGAATGAGATGTTTCTCGAAGCTGAAATCATCCTTCTCTATCGTGTGTCTGATAGGAATAATCACAAACGTCTCTATACCGAATGTTCTCATCCATCTGTATAACTGTGGTGTCTTACCCTAAGTCTTCGGATTCGCTGTCAGCAGATTTTGCCTCCATTGTTGCATAATCGGTCGTGCAGTACATCCTACATACACCCGTTTGGACCACGGACAAGTGATCTGATACGTTCCACTAGTCCTGAGGTCCAGTGTGTCGTTCGAGAACTCCATCTTATCCAAAAACTTTCCAATCCATTTTACCTCACCTTTGAGTCCGAGTAGAATCATGGTAGTGGCAATGCGTCTCTCGACTTGTGCTGCTTGCTCGCCTGTAACACCACGCCCCCGGAGGTCTTCTCTCTCGGCCATGCACGTGCCCATGTTCATCCAGAGTTCATCGGTCATCGGGGAAGTTGATTGTCAATCGGACGTTTGCTCTTGTTCTTCTGGCGGTGCCGATTTTAATGTCACTCTCAGTGTCCCTGGGATCTTTGCCTTCCCTCTCGTAGTGACCGTAGTCTTAACCGGTTCGGTTGGTGTCTTGTCGGCTTGCTCCATGTCTTCATCGATCTTCCGAGATCTTGTCTTCTTCATCAGTGGTGTCGAGAAGAAGCGGTCATAGGCTAACTATGTCTGTCGCTACACCAGTTTCATCACCATATCCTCCTTTCTTGCTGGTTTTATGCCATGTTTCTCACAGATCTCCTTGAGCTGTGAGACTTTCTTCCCTGAATACTGCTTCATAACTGATAACGTGTAGTCGACGAGCCCTTCCTGAGAGCAGCTGGCTGAGATCCCTTTGCACCCCTTTGAGAGTGGTGTCTCAGGCTCCAGTCCTCCGTTCTTCGTAGGAGGTGTGGGAGTATCCGACTTCTTTGAACATTCGCCCCTCTCGTAAGTGCCCGTCGAGTTCTTCTTACTAGTCTTCTTTCGTATCTGCCTCTTCTTTATCTTGGTCTTGCGCTTCTCTTCACGGAGTAGTCTCACTAGTCGTAGTGCCTCTTCTTCCGTATCCGATGAATCCTCTGTAGTGGATGTACTCTCCTCAGTATGAGATAAGGATGAAGAAGATTTCATGACCCTTGTCTTCATCTTCTTCTTCTTCGAAGATCTCTTCGTCTTCTCCTTTGCCTTCGTAACCGCCTTGCTCTTTGGTGAAATCTTAGGACTCGTAGCTTTGTCTTCCGCCTGGCTGGCCACCTTCGCCTTCTCCATCGCCTGTTCTTGCTGTTTCTTCCATTTATCGGTAATTTCTGCTTGAAGTTGCAGGCGCATCTCCTCGGTTCTCCTGGTCATGTCCAGTTCCCATCTCTTCTCTTTTTCCTCCTTCGCACGTCGTTTTTCTTCCTCTTCGTCACGCTTCCATTTTTCTTCCCGTTCTTTCATCAAATCTCGGACAAAAATATGTATCTCATCTTCTTGCTGTGCTGGTTTACTCCTCTTAGTCCAGCAGTCACGTGCGATGTGTCCTTGTTTGCCGCATTCGTAGCAAACTGGACCGCTCGATCGTCCTCCTCAACCTCCATTGTTACCGTTATTGTTATTATTATTGTTCCCATTATTCCCCATATTGCTACCACCCCCATTGCTATTCATCTTGTCTCGTATCCAAACTTAGGACAAAGACTAAAAATCTCCATTCCAGGAAACACTCGAACAACGTCCTCGTCGCGATAATTCGGAAATCTCAAATATCGGCTATCTCTCCTACCTCCATAACCTGTAGTCTCCGTCCTGGTCTCAGCAACCGTATTGCCCTCCATAACCCGTAGTCTCCGTCCTGGTCTCAACAACCATACTGCAATCCGTGTCCTAGCGTTCGAAATACGTCGTGTTGTTTCGAATACCGGGTATATAGTCTTATGTACGTAGTTATCCAGAAAATTGACCAATCTACGCCTGATAGTTGTCGTACTGTTTCTATTACTACGAATTCCTCCACACCTTGCACATGTTCTCGTCATCGTAGTTCTAGAAAGCCAAACTAATGATAATGATACCGACACCAATACTTATCAAAGCTAGTCCGCATAACACCATGTCGAAACTCCTAATTGTCCTCATACTGTCTAACTTCAAAATCAAAATCACAGCCACCGTTAAGCTTAGAAAACCCCGGTTACTGTGTTCCCAGGAGTGGCAGACCGCGGCAACAGCCTGTCCGGAAGGGCACAGTAGCACAAAGAGTCATGAACATGTAGACTTAGAAAACATAGTCAAGCTTTGAACAAACCCGTCGAAACGAGCTCAACCTTCAAGAAACATCAACAAAGTTTCACTTCCTACATGCCACGAAACCTTCACCACCATAGCCAAAATCACCCGCATAAACTCGACAACGCCGTCCTTCTACCGGTTTCATCCGTCCGCAACGGAATCATCAGGAAGGTACGCCCTTCACGAGCGCTTCAGTTGAAAAGAGAGACCCGTGCCTTGTCCCTCGCGCTTTTTATCGTTACCCTTCGTAAAACAAAATAAAATAAATAAAATAAAATAAAATAAACACCTAGTGTTAGGTACTAAGATCAAAACCCGATTTCGTAGGAACCTCGTATCCCCATGCGTCAGTCGTGGAAGTTCCTTTCCTCAAAAGATAAAAGCGCACTTCTACTTAGTGTTCCGTACCAAAATCAAAATTCCGGCTCTCGTAGGAATCTTGTGTCCCCATGTGTCGGTCGCGGAAGTTCCTTGCCCCAAAATATAAAGGCGTACTTCTAAAAATGTGCGTCTGATCCTCAAAATAAAATCACAGCAAATCCTGAAAGCTAAAGCCGTAACCGTATCCGGGGCTACTGGCCAAAACATTAAGTTAAAGGACAGTGAACCAAAAAAAACGAAAGTACGTAGGTGCTACGTCCATCTGGATTCATCTACCAGTTCCCACCTTTGGTAGTTATAGCCTGAGCCGCGGGGTTGCTTCCGTACCTTCATCCGAACGCCGCTCGTGGTCCGCGTCACTTCATAAGGACAAAATGAAAAGGTTCCCAAAAGGCCCAAACCAGATGGTTTCCCGTAACTTTGGCCAATTTGGCCAAAGCCCCGAGAGAGAGAGAGAGAGAGAACAGGTAAGTGTTTGTGTGTGTGTGTGTGTGTGTGTGTGTGTGTGTGTGTGTGTGTGTGTGTGTGTGTGCGTTGATGTTGCTGCCGCGCTGCGCCCTCACCCGCGCGCAGACAACGCACTTGTGAGTGTGTGTTTGTGTGTGTGTGTGTGTGTGTGCGGGCGCGTGGTGGGTGGCGGGGGGCGCGGGGCGACCCTTCCCCACCAATCAATCAATCAATCAATTAAAAAAAAAAAAAAAAAAAAAA